AGACATTCATCTCCTAGCTTAATTTTTAATTCCTTTAACTCTCAATGATCCTTTATGTCATTTTTGAGGTAACTATAATTTGAGATTCAAAAATCATGAATCTATTGTTCTTTTTCCTTTTGTTATTTTAGATGATTTAAATGGTATTTGTTTATGATATGTGAAACATAAGTGAGTGAGGAATGCAGGAAGGGCAGGGGAAGGAGTTGGGCAAAGATAGGGTCTCAGGAGAAGTTTAGGGCTTTAAGAGTGAATTGCGGGCACCTGGGTGGCTCAGTGGGTTAAGTGTCGGCCTTCGGCTCAGGTCATGATCTCAGGGTCCTGAGATTGAGCCCCACATCGGGCTCCCTGTTCAGCGGGGAGTCTGCTTCTTCCCTCTCCCTCTGCCCCTCTACCCTGCTCCTGCTCTCTCTCACTCACGCTTTCTCTCTCTCTGAAATAAATAAATAAAATATTTTTTAAAAAAGAGTGAATTGCACTAGAGGATTTCTCCCTTCCCATAGGCAAGGGGTTAGGCTGTTACCCTCACATCAATCAGTTAATGGCTAGAGGCCACCAGTACCCTGCAGGGGTTAAATATCCATATGGAAGACTTTGTCTTAATTGCTAGACCTCCTCAATTCTAATAATCTTTGTGTCTATTTCTCATCAGTCATTTACCAGCCACATGCAGAGCTATTTCATCAATATAATTTCAAACTCCAAAATAATTGTCTGATCAGAGCCACCTTCGTGCCACTTCTCCTTCTCTTTCTCCTATCAAACTTGCCTTCACCTTCACAATGACCTCAGTTCACTTCCCCCACTCCCTTTTCACCCCTCTCTCCACTCCCCTCAGTATCACTTACTCACACAGCCAGCCTGGACCACATGGTCAAACATGACCCTCAAGCCCTCACTCTTTATTTAGGACACACCAGCCCCTCTCATTGTTTCATACCCATGGTTCATTTGTGTAGATTATTTCCTCCAAATGGAATGCCAGTTTCGTCTTCTTGGCCTGACAAACTCCTATCTACCTTTCAAGAACTCTCTAAATTGTCCGTTCATCTGTGAAGATTTCTTTATTTCCCTTAGCGAGAGTAGGGTGCTTAAGTGGGCATTTGCTGTTTGGCAGCTTCCCATCATCCATTTTACTTTTCTCACCATCCCAATTTCCTTTTGAGGAATTAAGTGTTCCCCAGTGAATACATTCTTACAGGAATGTAATGAGAAGCCTTGTCTTCCCTAATTAGACCCATCAGAATCATCATGGAGTCTGGAGCAAAGAGGGGAAGATCCTAAAAGGATTGGATTTCAATCCATCCCTGTAGCAGCATCTGTCTCTGCTTCCAGAGAACTTTGATTCCTGACCGACCCCACTGATTTTATGAGTTTTCAACAGCCTCCCAGTAAGTTCCTTTTGCTTAAGTCAATCAGATTACGTTTCTATTGCTTACAAAGAAGACTCCTGTACTCCCACAGTGCCTTATTACAGAGTACCTACCACATGGCATTGTAATTTTTGGTAAACATGTCTGTCTCCACTGCCAGGCTGAGACAGCGTCTCCATCATCTTTGGAAACACAACATCTAGCCTTGTGTCTAACACATGGTAAGTATTCAATTCATACCAATTAAATGGACAAGTAAATGTATGAATGACAGAGAATAAGTTGTTTTCAGCTCTTTTCTTTTTCATTAATATCTGCAGCAAGCAAGTGGGCCCTTTTTGTTCCAAAGCTTTGCTTCTATTCATTATCAACAAGAGGATTCTTCATGAATTCCACAACAAGTGACAGGGATTAAGGAATAGACTTGATAGAGAAATTTATAGTAGGAGGGTCAGCAAGAGAAGGCACAGAATCCCAGTTCTCCCATCATCTCACAGAGAGGTGAGCTGGGTCCTGGGATTGCTGGACACACGGAAGGTCTACCTACTAAACTGCCTACCTAGAGTATAATCATGAGAAAGTGACCTTGTCAGAGGTGGGCTACTTGGGTACCCAGCTCCCTAGGAAAGTCAGATGTCCAGCACCTGGAGACATTGGGAGACCGTGAGAAATTATAGTCTTTCCTGTTTTTGGGGTTTTTTTTTTTTTTAAGATTTTATGTATTTGACACACAGAGAAGAAGACAGCAAGCACAAGCAGGGGGAGTGGCAGGCAGGGGAGAAGCAGGCTCCCTGCTGAGCAAAGAGCCCGATATGGGGCTCGATTCCAGGACCTTGGGATCGTGACCTGAGCCAAAGGCAGCTGCTTAACCAACTGAGCCACCTAGGCGCCCCAGTCCTTCCTGTTTTTTAAAAGGTAGCCACTGATCTCGTGGGAAGCTGAGTTGGGTGCATCCCTTCCCGCAGGGAGAAGGAGCAGCTTGTTTTCCATGAGATCCAGAGTTCCCATCTGTATTACTTTGCTAAGGATATTATAATAAAATACCACAGGTAAGGTGACTTAACCAGCAGAAATTTATTTTCTCACAGCTCTGGAGGCTGGAGGTCCATGATCAAAGTGTCAGCAAGTTTGGTTTCATTCTGAGGCTTCTCTCCTTGGCTTATGGATGGCCACCTTCTCAGTGTGTCCTTACATAGCCTTTTCTTAGTGCCTGCATGCCCCTGATGTCTCTCTGTCTTCTTATAAGGACACTAGTCATGTTGGATTAGGACCCCACCCTAATGGCCTCATTTTAACTTAATCACCTCTCTAAAGACCTTATCTCCAAATAAAGTTACATTCTGAGATACTGGGGGATAGGACTTCAGCATATGAATTTAGGGGGGACACAATTCAGCCTGAAACAGTATCCAAGATAGTCATAAAATAATAATTAAGACTGCGGAAGTAATAACATGTCAAGAACTCTATAAATTATGTCTCTGACAAACACTGAAATACAAATTCATCTAGTTGAAGCACTTCCCATATCTGCTGCTGTATGAAATAGTGCTCTGGCGTACCTACTCTGCCCTTTTTTACTCCTGAGGCTCATCTCCAACACTTCTCAAGTCAGCTTTGAGCCCTTATCAGGACAGAACAACAGGCATCCACTAGTTGGCTGTTCAGAGGATTCCAGATTCAGGAAGGTCCTTTACATCAGGCTCAGAATGGTCTCCTCAAGTCATTTCCTGACTGTGCTTTCCCCCAATTTGGAAATTGTTAAACATAAAAACGAAATTAAAGTGTTGTCAAGGTAACTTTATCTGATCGTTGAGCCCTCTTATAGTAAAGAAAACTTGTATTTCAATACATTTGGGAAGCCAAAAAAAGAATTACAAATAAAAGCCATGGGTAGAAATCTGTAGTGGTAAATCATTTCTCATATGTAGGTTATTCCCATTATTTTTCCTCTTTAATCAAGACTATAGATAGCATATAACTCAAAGCAGAAATTAGATGCTAAAAGTGTCTGGTGTTACTGAATTGATTGGATAACTTGAAGCATTCAAAATAATTGCAAATTAACTTTTAAGTTAAAAACATTTTTTAATTTAAAAAAGAAATCGAACAACTCTGATGGTTTGTCAGGAAGAAGAAAAACAGGAACCACTTAAAGATTTTTGTGGTCTTGTTAATGAGGCATCAAATCTCAAAATGCCACTTTTAAAATGGTTTCAGGCATGACTCACCTAATCAGAGGTTTCACTGAGTGTCATAATGGACTTCAAGAGGCATTGTGCTGTGATGTGGAAGAGTATTGGGGTGGGGGTGTGCACGTGCACCCTGGGGATAGAATGGGGGCTGTAAAGCTGACTGTCCCTCCAAATAGCTTTCCACATCTGTAAACTGATGACAGTGGTTTGAAAATTGTAATGTGTTATATAAATGTTTGAGAAATATCATTATTGTAGCAGGTAAAATTCCATTTCTTTACATTCTTTAAATTCTATAAAATTAATTCTGAGTCCCCATCCCCAAAAGGCAAGTTGTTATTGGTACTCTCTCTGTGTCTTTTCCCAAGGTCTTAGAAAGGCTGTCAGGGAAGAGGAAGGAGCCTTGGGCAGAGCAAAATTTTCAGGGAGATTCTCTCCTCCAGTCCTAGATGCACACTATTTTTCTAGATGCCCATTGCTCACATCCTCATGTTCTCTTGGAATCTTATAGTTCTAAGGTTTATGGGCCATGATCAGACAAGGGAGTCTGAGAGATGAGATTGTGGTGTCTAAGATCCTTTCTTTAGGGTACACCAAACAGCCCCTTTCCCTGGAGGCCTTGCTTCCTGCTTTGTATTTGCAGAAACTTGCATCTCTTTCCCAGACTGGGAGCATCTCTCTCCCTCCTACCATCAGAAGCATCTTTCTATCCCCTCCACCCTCCACAGACGCTTTCACGGAAGACGGGAAGAGGGTAGTTTTTGCAGCTAGCTTCCACCTTCTGACTAAAAGCAAGGTGATCTTCTTGAAAGGCATAAGTTAAAAAATAAGGAGAGTGTAAAGGTAGTGTAAACCTACCCTTCTAGGTTCTTTTGGCTGGTTTATTAATTAAATTGACATAAGACAGATCAATAGGAGGAAAACAAATTTAATTTCATATGCATGGGCAATTGAGGCTTATAAGCCATCCTGAGCTAAGAAGGAGGTAAGGGTCTGGGGCTTCAACAAAGAGAAGGAAGGCAATTCACAGGATCATGGGAAGAGCAAATGTTTGGTAAACAAATGATTGTCATACCATGCAAAGACAATAGGGCAGAGAGGAAGTTGAATAAACATGCCCTGCTAACCTCCCCTCACCTTACCACACATAGCCCATACTCTTCATAGTTATCTCTGGTGATAACTCTCTTCCTGGACCAGGCTCTCTATCTAAACTCTGAGACAATTAAGGGGGAGGTAAAAAGCTCTTCCTGAGTCTTTTTTGGCCTTGATTAGCTTCAGCTCAAAATAATCCACATGCCAAAGTGGCACATTTTGGGGAGGCTCATCTGAACCCCTTCATGAGCAAAACCCAAACTAATAAGGCAGCACATTATTTTAAAGATATAAAACATAAAAATAATGTTATTTTTCCTTGTTTGTCCATATATAGTAAGAAAGCAAGCAAAGAAAAATTTCACAGATGAAGGAGACCAGCTGTTCAAGACAGGCATCAAGATTCTCCAGCAGTCTAAAAACCAAAAACAAAAAGCAGAGTAAGTCTTTGTCCAGTTACCTAAGCCAACTTAAATTCCTGGCTGAGAAAAAAGAACAATCCAAAGTCTAGTTTGTCATTAAAAGCTTATTGGGATAACAAGTTTATTTGCCCATAAGCTTTTGTTTTTAAAAGGATCAACTGATGTTTAAAGAGTCCTAAAATTATCAGCCTAAACAAACAGAATTGTATGTGAAATTGTGGTCCCTGCACTTTAAGTGAGATGCAGAATTAAGGCACTAATCTGAGTATTCAGGCAAAAATATTCTGTTTTGAGTTTATTAGGTATTTGCATTAGAGTGGTTGTTTTAGAATGCTTTATTCTGCCTAACTCAGCATTTGTAGAGCACTTTACGGTTTTCAAAGCACTTTCATTTATGTGATTCCATCTTATCCCCAGAACAGCCTTATGAATTAAGAAAAGCTTCATTTCCCCCCTTTAAACAGTTGGGAACAGAGATTCAAGGATGTTAAAGTGAGGTGATCACAAATACACAGCTGGGAAGTAACCAAGCTGTGGCCACATGGTCTCACTCCATGTTCATCATTTCTCTTTTCACTTGTCTACTTTGTCTAAAGGGGAGGCAGAAATATCTTGTCCCCCCAGTAGAGGGACACAACATGAGGTCACCCCTCAAGTCTCCATTAAAACCTCATTGAGGTCAAATTCTAATTCTACCATTCATTGGCTTTGTTATCCCTGGGCAAGTTACTTAACCTGCTTGCGTTCTGGATAGTAGAGTTAGGCTCTTAGAACAATGCCCAACACATAGTAAGCAGAAGATAAGCATTTGTTATCTTTATCTCTAGTCCTCTAAATGGTAAGCCGAAGGTATGGGAGAGAAGAAAACAAGTGTGTCTTGAAGCAATAATAAAAAACAATCTCTGGACCTCCAACAAGGAGACATCTTTTGTTTGCACACAGATTAGGCATAGCAACTCTGGGGGAAGCATCCCAGTGCTGTGGTAACCATTCCTAAACAAGGCAGCAGGAGAGTCCCTGAATTCTTTCTTAAAGCTCAAAGCTTCCCAGAAGAGCATACAAGTATAGAGAATAAAGGGGCATTCAACTCTGAAGAACTTCCATTTATTAAGCTCCTTCTTCGTGCTACTTATTTTTCTGGGCATTTTTGTGTGGAATAGCATTCATTGCTCACAGTGGATATTGTGACTCATAAATTGTTATCCCCAAATTACAGAGGAGGAAATGGAAGTTCCAAAAATTCTATAATTCTTCCAAAGTGACAAGAAGAAGGAAGTAAAGTAGTCGGTCATCTCTCTAGGGGAAGTTAAATTAGAAGCTCCTTATAAGAGCAGAGGAAACCATCCCTTGCAAAACCTGGGTCTCATGCTGAACATCTCTGGGGGCTGTCATGTTGCGGATGGGGTTAAATCAGACCCCCAAAATATAATTCAGCCTGATAGGGAAGTCTGCTCACTCAAAAGCTCACTGAGTAGATAAGTAAGAATAGAGAATTCTCAACCCAGCCCAGCTAGATAAAAGAACAATGGAATTCTGGAAAGGGGCTGGTCCCTGAGGTTTCAGATTAGCTCTGTCAATAGCAGGTGAACACAAAATGAGGGGCTCACTGGGTATGCCCTGTTAAATTCAAAGAAACCCTAGATTCAGTCCGATGGGACAAAATCACTCTTGGAAGCTCCCAAGTAACTATCCTCTTAACCTGGATGGGTACTTTCCTCTTTGGCTTAAAGCATGGGGAGAAAACCCAGCCCTGAAAGCAGATTACCCAGCAGTGAAGGAGCCTTCATGACACCTAGGTGTCATTCAATCTCAGGCTATTCTTGCCCAGCCTGTCCTTGCCCAAGAGTGCCAGAAAAGCAGCTTTTTTTTTTTTTTTAAGATTTTATTTTTAAGTAATCTCTACACCCAACATGGGGCTTGAACTCACAACCCTGAGATTAAGAGTCACATGCTCCACCAACTGAGTCAGCCAGGTGCCCCAAAAGCAGCTTATTTTTGCAGCAGCATAGGTACATGAGAGGGTGCATAAAGCTGAGTCCCCTGACCCTTCTGAGTTAATAGAGGACTGAAACCAAATCTGCTCATAACAAGAGATTTCAGGAATTTGTGGGAAAGCTGAGTGAAATTCCTCCAAATATCAGGATGGTCTGCTCTTCTCTTAAGTCAGTTACATCCAGTCTAGCCATCTCAAAGATTCTGGTCAGGCGAAAGAAAAATGAACACCCTACTGACCACAGAGGAATCATTTCTCTCCCATTCATTCCTCAATCCTCTGTCCTCCTTGTTCCACCACTTCTTGTACAAAACAGAGGCTACTAGTTCTTTTGGCTCATCCACATCGACATCTTGACCCAATTCATTCATTCATCCATCCGTTCATTCATTCACTCATTCAGCTATAAATTGTTTAACAAATCAGTGCTGTTAGAAGTACAGATGTTAAGTAAGCATGTGTCAGGGAGACACAGACTTGTCTACAGGAGTCAAGCCTCAGAGACAACCAGGGTTAGCTGTCATTAAGAATTACTCCCCATCAGCAAAGAAGATTTGGAGATAAGCTGCTGCCCTACACCAAGTTTCTGATGAATCCTAGAGATGCCAATAGTCTCCTCCTTCCCCAGCACCCACCTTAGCATCCAGTACCAGGTTCTTTAGAAGTTATCCAGATATCTAACTGAACTTTCTTTTGGGGATCTGCTAATGTTGCCCAGTTTCTCCTACTTTTTCCCTCTTGGGGGTTATAACCCAGATCTTAATCCTACCTAATTTACCAACAGCTTTCTTCAGCCCTGGGTCCTGCTTCTAGTATTCCTTATATCACCTTGGACTTTCTTGACAGGGGACCGAGGTATCCACCCCTCCCTTAGAATTAAAAACACCTAGACAGATTGGTTTTGTGAGCTTTTGTTGCCCCCTGGGATCAGTGAATGGATATACTGCTGGCTCCTGCAGCCCATCTCGAATTTCTCTGCCCTGGTCCATGTGGGTGCCCTTCTAATCCCAGCAGGCTATGTGGTTGCAGCAGCAAACCATGTGGCAGAATGACTTCAGGGAGTCTGTGTCCGATTGTCAAGCCTATCTCTGAGTGCCAGACTTTTGCATTCATTGACCTTTAGACCTTCTGTCTTATTTGCCTTCTGGTCCCTAGAATATTAGCTTGCTTGCTTGACCACCTGGCTTCTATTGTCCCGCTGGAGTCTACTCCCAGTGTTGCCATCCAGGACCCTAAAGCCTACATGGTAACACTCAGTCCGAGCCCATTCTATTCTGCTCCATCCACCAAGAGCAAATTATTTTAGCATCAGCATAGATAGGTGGTACATAAAGCTGAGTCTCCTGATCCTTCTGAGTAGCAATGATAGATTTGTGTATTTGTTCCTGTATTTGAGTCAAGGTTACCAGTAGAGGTTAATGCTTTCTGTTCTTACCACTACCAAAAAGGAAGTTATAAAAGTAAAAATAAATCCCAAAAGTACTCTCTGTCTGACACAGGTTTTGACCTTGCAAGACTCTCCCTCACTACTTGTTATACAGATCAGGTCCAGGTGATTTCTGAGCGGGATTCAGAAAATGCAATGTAAGGCAATCCTATGGCATCTATATTTATAATCACTAAATTTTCACACCGTTTACCCACTAATTACAGGAGAACAATTACCATGCTATAAAACTTTAGAATTTATGCAGTAGTCCTAATAATAATAATAATAGCTAAATTTATTGAGTGCTTACTATGTACCAGGTACTATGCCAAGCACTTCATATGGATTATCTCATTGAATCTTCCCAGCAACCCTATGAAGTAAGTGCTATTGTTATCCCCACTCCATAGATGAAAGAGGCACAAAGAAGTTAAATAACTTGCCTGAAGCTCTCAAACTAGTAAGTGGTGGAGCCAGATTTTGAACCAGGCAGTCAAGACTTCAGAGCCCTAATAACCATTGGGTTTTATTTGGTTATTGGTTTTCGACACAGTCTGACTTTGCATGCTGAGGAATATGTTCTGTTTTAGACAATTATTTCAGAATACAAAGGGACTGTTGTTTTCATGATAGTAGCTTTCTAGATGTGACATTCCAGTTTTGATTATTTTTGATTATATTGTTATATATTTCAGAGTTCATTTTGTAAAACAAATATTCATATAATGTGGGTGGCCATGGGAGAGTTCACTATTTTAGGACAAGTGACTCAATTTTTCACTTGGTGAATAAGCTTGAAGCATGATGTATCCTATATATTTCTCCTTTTCAGCAGCTTCACTATTTGTCAGATACATCTGAAATTATAATCTTAGATAATGTAGGGCTGAAAAACACCCTACTGATCTATAGATGTGATGGACTTCAGCTAAACTGTCATTAGTAGCAATGACAACTTTGTCCTACTTGTTAGAGAGAAGTAGTGTGAAGGAGGGAGCAGAAAAACATTTTTGATAATCAAACCTCTACCTTCATATTTTTGAAACAGAGCCTACGTGTTCTTTGCCAAAGCAGCTGACAGGGGAAACTTGAAAGCTATGGAGAAAATGGCTGATGCTTTGCTATTTGGAAATTTTGGCATGCAAAACATAACAGCAGCTATCCAATTATATGAGTCCCTGGCTAAAGAAGGATCATATAAAGCCCAAAATGTGAGTTTTGAAAGAAAAGTATGCCTTACTAAAATAACTATAGACAAATAACATGTGAAAGGAGTTTAGCGATATTATTCCCACGTGAACCCAGACCTAGGGAAGTTACAGTAACACTCTGAAATAGTGGTGTCAGGGAGGGGACACAAGCAAGAGCCCTGGGCAAATTCTTCAAGTTATATGGGTGACTATCAGGAATGGAACAGAACTGCTCTCTAATTCAGCTTCCCATCTTATGTCCATGGGTGTGTTTAGAAATAATTTAAGAACTCTGAACCCTTAAAATAATTAAATTTTACTTAAGTATATTCACCTATACAAAAAACAAAACACAGAAGTAAGTCTATGACCTTGCATAATGTTTGCCTGGTTTTTACATTTCAAACATTTTATAAAATAAATATATTTCCTTTTCTATTTTACTAAATGCATTTCATTTTATTCCAAGACTAACATAAACATTTCATAGAAAATCTGGAAAACAGAAAAATAAATAGATAAATAAATAAAGCCCTTCACAAGCCAACCATTCTGACTCAACTATTGTTAGGACTGCTTTATATTTTTGCTTAGCTTCTTCCTCATGCATCTCTCTTTTTACATCATCCTAATCACAATGCAAGTGCATATATCATTTGTTTCTGGCTACTTTCACTTAATGCTATAGCAAAAGCATGTTTTCATGTTGTTAGTCTTTTTTTTTTTTTAATACTTTTTTTATTGTTATGTTAACCACCATACATCATTAGTTTTTGATGCAGTGTTCCATGATTCATTGTTTGTGCATAACACCCAGTGCTCCA